GGGGGGGGGGGGGGAAGAGAGAGAGAGAGACGCGGACCGAACTGATTTTAAAACGTAAGTGGAGTCATTTCGCTGTCCAACGACTGCCGCGTGTTAACTCGTTCGCGAGTTGTTTGTTTTGCAACGGCGGTCTCGTTTCTCGTGTTTTTCCTCCCTTTTTTCCGTCCGTTGAGGAGTACCTCCCCTTCTTTCCGATCGGCTGAGCGAAATGACAATACGTTGCCGATACTCCATCGGCCACAGCCAGCCAGCGAGCAAGCAAACAAGTCAGCCAGCGCAACGTGGAATTATGGTCGCGCGGTGAAAGTGAGACATCTGTCGAGGGAAATTCCGAGACTGTCCGGGCTTTTCATCGGCGCGAATCAGAGAGCAAGAGCAAGAGTGAGAGAGACGAGGAGAGGAGTTGCTCGTCGTCGCGAACTCCTTCGTTCTTCGCTTGTTGCCACGAGCTTCTCGGAAACACACGCCTTTTTCCTCGCGTTGCACGCCTCGCCGAGAGAGGAAGGATAATAGCGCTCTCTCGATGCAACGTGCAGGGATTTTTCGACCAGCTTTCTTTCTCTCTCTTTTCTCTCTCTCTCTCTCTTTCTCTCTCTCTGTCCACCCGGATGGCTGCGCCCGCGGGATACGGAGGCGGGTCTGGTTTACCCAGGCGCTTTTTGCGGCGATATTTTATCATACAAAATAGCGGACATCCATCGCATTTCCATCGAAATGGCAGCTGACGTTGCAGCAGCCAACCATTGGCCGCGCGCGTTCTCGAGACCTCTTCGCAGTCCCTCGCCGCCCAGTCCCGGCCGCTCGTTCGGTTCGATCGCGCAATTTTATAGCAATTTTCCTCATTTACGGCGATTACATTATTATAATGCCGCGTCATCACCCGCGGCGGATTCAACTATCGGCAGCATGCCGTCGGGATCGGTAGGTGCGTTCTCGATACGCTACGATCGTTCACGGCGGCGAGTATTATAGTTCGTTCGACGATGATTCGCGTCTCTACCCTCGACGGAAAATTGGCTCGGCTCACGTCCTGACGCGCCGTGACGCAAATGAAGTATCTGTCTGTAAAATAGAATCGAACGGAATATAAATGTTCCACGGCGATTCTACGCGAACACGCTCGTTGAAGTGGCACGATTCAAACTGGCGGGTGAGAGAGAAAGAGAGAGAGAGAAGAGGGGGAGGCATTAAGGCCGGCGAATAAATCACCGAAACGCGATTCCGCACTCTCGTGTCGGCTTATCTGCGTCGAAGCAAATGAATTCGCTAATTGGTGCTCGCTCCAAGGTACCAGCGACGCTTCATTTTATCGCGATAGCGCTTATTACTCGTTACTTGCTCGTGCCTCTAAATTCGCTCGCGTTAATGGAAGCGCGCACGATTAAAGAAATTAGCGGACGCGCACGGGCGCGCTGCGTAAGATAAAACACGCTGCCGCGTGGTGTGTATCGTTTGCGTCAAAACCGCGAAAAAATACTCCGATACTGCTTGACGTGTATAAATCGGGACCCGTCGTCGAATCTCTGTCCCGTAGTCCGGAGATGAGAAACGTGGCTTGGCACGCCATCGATGGTAACGGAGATTGAAACGTTTCTGGTCCCCGGGGCCTCTTCTAGACGAGACGAGACGAGACGAAACGAGACGAGACGCGAGCGAGCGAGCGAAGCGGAATGCAGCGCGCGCGCGATGAAGAAGATTCCATAAATATCTGTGCTCGCATAGTGGAAGAGAGAAGTGGAGGAAGACAGCGAGAGAAAGAGACAGAGAGAGAGAGAGAGAGAGAGAGAGAGAGAGAGAGAGAGAGAGAGAGTGAGAGAGAACGATAGAGCGTAGCGTAGAGAATGGGAGAGAGGGGGGACCAATGGAGGGAGGCTCATGGTAGCCCGCGGTGCTGCTCCTCGTGCATTTAACATTTTCGAACCAATCGCGTATTAGCATAATTACGTTTTGCCGGGGCCCGGTGCGCGGAAGGAAGGTCCGGTCAGGCCCTTTTCCCTTCTCTTTCTCCCTCTTTCTCCTTTTTCCCTCTGTCTTCCTCCCTATCTTGGCGGTAGAATATTTTCTGGCGGCGGCATAGCATCTTTCTCTCTTTATCGTTCCACTCTCGCTACTCTTCTCCTCTTTTCTCTTCTCTACTTCTCTCTCTCTCTCTCTCTCTCTCTCTCTCTCTCTCTCTGTGCTCTTCCATCGTCTTTCTCGGCGCAGGACTTCGGGCAGAGCCGCCTCGCGCGTACGCCGGTTAGAGAGCGGTAAATTTCTTATGGGATATTATGGCGTACACAGTGCATACCAACGGGATTCGTACTGGTACAACACGCGGGCGACCTCCCCCCGCCTGCTGGACGCGCCGCAGGAAACTGGTTCTAAACCTATGCCAGCGCACGTCGCTCTCTCCCGCTAGAATATCCTCGTGTTCCTGCGCGCACCACACGTACGCGCGGGCTCTCTCAACGATCTGGCCGCGAGACGTCCGAAGCACGAGACGCGGTGCCGCAGAAATTAAGTTTTAACTGGTTGGTCCGGTGAAATATGCGCTACTCGGGGTAGCGCTTTAAACACTCTGAGCGAAATCTTTGCATACTCTGTGAGAGAAAGAATCGGAGACGTGTAAAAATTGTCCTTGCTTCGCGTAGAAAAAGAATTGTCGCAATAATTGTGCTGTCAAATAGAGCTTTTGTAACAATGAGCTCTAACATCTGATGCAGTTAGTCTGGTAGAGAGTTTGTTCGATGCGTGGATTTCGCCAAGTTGCGCTCTTGAGAAGCTACCCAATCTGCCTTTGAGAATTCGGGATGTGTTTCTCATCGTCATCATTGATACCGTCACGGTAGCGAGGAGGATATCGTCCAAGTTGCGAAAAGAAAGAAAACAAGGGGCCTCGTTCGCCGCGTACACCCGGTATACAGATATCCTGTGCGTGCCGTAAGGGTGGTCAAGTTGCGAATCAGGCCGCGAGGGAGGGAGACCGAGACAGACACCCCGAAACCTTCATTACCTTCGGCTTCAAAAGAGCCCATTGTGCCGTAAATGGGGTTCCTTGCGTTCCTCCTTTTCTACTCTCTCGCTCGTACGTACCATGGATCCGTTCCATTCTTCGGCGTTTGCCTTTCCGAGAGTCCGTGAAGAGACCGGGAGGAGAGCGGAAGGGGGCGGATGCAGTAGCGCGAGGACAGCGAGACAGAGCGATAGAGAGAGAGAGAGAGAGATGGAAAGAGAGGTAGGACGCGTTTACACCCGTTCTTTCCTCCGTTTACGTAAATTTTCGAGCAATTTCGAGACCGGATGAAAAGGAGGTCCTCTCGAGTTCGTATAATGTCGCGCCGCGTGGAAATCCCCCTCTCTTCCCCCATGATAACAGAGATCGCAGAGAGAAAAGGGAGAGAATCGTTTAAATGTTCTCTTTGAATCGGAGAACTGGTTTCGGGGTTGTTGGTCTTTCTCCTTGAAACTACGTGTAAACGTCCGGGAATAATCGTGAGTAACGTTACGGATAATGAGTTTCTTGTAAAATCTCCTGACGTGTGACTGTTCTCTACATATATATGGTGCAGCACGTGTGATACTTTGAAACGATTATTAGATTGACGAATTAGATTCTGATCCAAATGTAAATTTATGCTCTTCTTTTTTCTTTCTCTGTTTGGCTCTCTCTCTCTCTCTCTCTCTCTCTCTCTTTCTTTCCCTCTTTCGCTGTGCATTCGCATTTGGCATGAGGAGATGTTTTCGGAGGTGACTGTGGCGAATGGAACTCGACGGAGCGACCCGGCGATTTCTCTCTCGCGCATCAAGTCGACCGTGTACGAAGAGGTATCCTCGAGCGCATTCGAACTGTTAAATCGCCCATAAAACGGGTATAATCTCACGTTACAGCGACATCGTTCGCGACATTGTAGGATGAATCTATCCGTGACGTTTCTCGTCGATGACGTGACTCGTCGCACTGAAAGCGACACTCGCGCCGAGATTCCATCGACGCGATTCTCCTCGCGTACAGACAATTGCGATGACAATGATTGTCTTTCTCTCTCTCTTCCTCTCTTCCCTCCTTCTCCTTTTCTAACTGACGCGACTGATAATTCGAATGTCGTGCAATCCAACCCCGGAAGAAGAAGTCGCTCATCGATTCTGAATAGTTCTCGTTTCCGTCCTTGCTCGAGGACATCGATGGAAATCGCATTACCGTGACCGTTTAGAGCTCCCGATCGCGGTGCCCTCCCTGAAAGTTTAATCCGATCGATGCCAGTTCTCGATTGGAAATTGAATCGTAATTTAACTTGCGCTGAAACTTTAAGTAGCGATATTCGGATCTCGACGACTATTTTCGTACCGCGTCCAATTACGGACGTAGTCCGAAATTTGTCTCGCTCGCCTCGGCCCGCAGATAACGGACCACTTTGTCGTATCGCGCGCCACGAGATACCTTCAGACGACATACTCCCGCTCGCGAGAGAGGAAGAAAGAGCGAAGAGAATCGACCTAACCGCGCGCGTCGTTCTTTTGCTCCGTCGACGACCGCCGAAAGTGCTCGTGGAAAAGGGAGGCGATCGTCCCGTCGTATCGCCCGGGACGACCTCCCTGTTGTATCCTGTATCGCTCTCCCTACGAGATCATCGTCCATGGTGTAGGATGACGCGATTCAATGGTAGGATAGATCGCAAAAACCCGCGTGCTCCCCGACGCGATCGTATCGTGTTCAGTATCGGCAGTTGGAATATCCACCCGGCCATCGATCCTGCCAAGTAATGCTTCTTCCGATTATTTCGTGCTAAGGTTAAAGTACCAACGTCTGGACACTAATAACACTGATATCTAACTCTGAACATTCCTATTGTTTTGTTTTTTAAATACAAATATTGAAACTTCCAACGTAGAACATATGAAAGTTCTCAGTATTCGTATTTAAAGATCATAGCAACAAGAATGTTCAGAGTTAGGTACCGGGGTGTTATTGGTGTGTGCTCAGACGCATTGGTACTTTTACCTCTTACAGCCGCATACACTCAAATGATTTCAGAATTAATACATTTTTTTCGATTCGATGTTATTTTAACTTTCGGTGAAAATAGTTCCATTCTACAACCGATCCATCATTATCCGTCGTTTATTCCTGGGTCGATAATCTGCATAAGATTGCGAGAATATCGGGAGGATACCTCTAAATTCCGCAATGTTCGCCCGACAATTCAAGACGAAGGGCCGATTTGACGCCCCTAGGCTCCCTGTGCGAAGGGGGGCAACAAGATTTTTTACTTCTTTTCATCGCTGAGTATTGTCGCTCGGTTCGACTCGACTCCCGGCGGATCAAATTCTAACCAGTTCGGCATTATAGCCGCTGTCCTTCGGAGTCCTTCGTCTCCTTCCACCGCCCTTTTGGTCTCCGCATTAAAGAGAGAGAAAGAGAGAGTCTAGTCATCCTGAGCGGGCATTGTGTTACCGCGTCGCGGTGGTACGCGTCGTCGGGGCGAATAGGAGGGGGAGGGGGAGGAGGAGTCGGTGCCCCGGTGGAGAAGAAGCGCGGGACCGAGGTTGCCGACGCATTATCACTCCCGACGAGGCCCCCTCATTTTTGAAAGAAGGTAAACGAGCGCGACGAATGTTCACCGATCGGCGCGAAATATATCGTCGTCTTGTAGTGACTCGGCAGGAAATCCATAACGATCTCATTGATCGCTCCTAATAATATCGTCATTGAGCCACCCTTCGTGAGCTGAGCGACGCTTGGCACCCCGACTCATCTTGCGACTTGCTCCGATGTGCAAAGCGTTCAGATTGGACTCTATTCAGACGCTTCGCGTTACTGTAACGTCGTATCGTGTCGATTACCGCGAGTCGGATGGTGATAGGTCAGCTTCCAGTGTGCACGAACGATTGCAGCGATTTGCATCGCTCGCTTCGATCGGCAGCGAATTGCGCTCTCGTCTTTTTCTTTCTTTCTCTCTTCCTCTTCCTCCTTTCTCACTCTCTCTCTCTCTCTCTCTCTCTCTCACACACACACACACACATACACATATATATTAGGCTTCTTCTGCTTCTTCGATCGGTCGAGGGAAACTCGATCGCGGCTCTTCTCGCGTACATGGCTCTCTACGATAAACACGTGCATTGTCCGTGCGTTTCTCGATGCACGCCACCGGCCGCCAACTATTGGACGGTGCCGCCTACGGCAAAGATGGCCGTCTTCTCTATTATACATAAATGCCTAATAAGAGTGTTATAAGTGACCGCTAGGTCGGCGATAGAGGCGGTCGGGGTAATGCGCGCGAGGTTGCTCCGGGAACGAAGGACGATGGGGGAGAGGGTGGGTGTATGTTCACGGAGAAGACCGCTACGCGGCTTCTTCATAAATGCCTCGTCTCTCGACTCGCCGACGATTTACATATAACAAGATAACGATTTTTATTTGCTCCTGCTTATATAATACGTTTATTCTAAATGGAATCAAGAAGGCGAATCAGAGGTAGGAGGACGATAGGGCTGGGATGGACGAAGGTATAGGGCGAGAGAGCTGAGGGAGGATGAGTCGAAAGGGAGACGGAGGAGGACCGGCTATCCTATAGGCCTGTCAGGCCTCATTTGCATACATAACATTCTGGTCGACTGGACACCGGTCAGACCTCCTCTCCTTCTCCATCTTGCTTCCTCTCGCTCTTTCTTTCTTTCTGTCTCGCTTTCTCTCTCTCTCTCTCTCTCTCTCTCTCTCTCTCTCTCTCTCTCTCTTTCTCTTTCTCTCTGTTTGCCGCGTCGGTTTCTCTTCAGCTACCAAACCGCTTCTACAGTCTCGAGATGCGCACACTAGCGTCCTCCATCTTCGTGTATCGATACGCCGCGTTCGGTCTCGCCGTTGATCACCTCTCTCTCTCTCTCTTTCTCTCCCCATGCCTCATACCGCGGTGAAACCACGTCGGTTGTGTGGATCCATTCGATGGAATCTGTCTATTAATCATTTCCGGCGGCGCGGTTAATCAGCCCGTACCGGGTTGGAAGATATCTTTTGGAAAACGGTATCTCCACGCTCCTCCAACCCGAGTGAAGTCTTCTTCTCCCCCGATCTAATTGGTTCTCTTCGAAATAGAAGCTCATGACTGGCCAACTAACGAACGTTCTTTCTTTCTCCTTCCAGGTGCACGAACTTTGCGACAATTTCTGCCACCGGTACATCAGCTGTCTAAAGGGCAAGATGCCGATAGATCTAGTGATCGACGATCGGGAGAGTTCGAAGCCACCTGAGTTGGGTAACGGTCTCGACGGCAGCGGACCCAGGAGCACCGCCGACAGCACCAGCCACACGGACGGAGCCAGCACGCCGGACGTCGTGAGTACCTCACCACCGTCATCGTCTTACTATCCGCACGACGCGCTCACCCCCCACCACCACCACCATCACCATCACCACCACCATCACCACCAGAATAATAACAACAATAATAGTAATCACGCCGGGATCGGCAGTACCGCCGCTACCACCCCCCTGCAACTGAGCCAAAACCAAAGCCAAAACCACCACCCTGCGCCGCAGTCGAACACCACCACTACTACTGCTATTACCCCAAGTAGCGCCGCCACAACTCCCAACTCCCTAAAGCGTACGCACCAACAGATGATGATGGCAGCCGCGGCGGCATCCGCGATGGCCACCTCGCCGCACGCAGTCGCATCCGCGCCCCCAGCGCACGCGCACGCCCTCGCCGCCTACCACAGCATCAGCTCGGCCGTTTATCCGTGCTCGTAATAGACTACCGCGCGACTTCCGTGCCGATTCTGCGAGACCACTTCTCACTCTCTTGTCCTTCCCGCGACGTTACTCCCCCCGCCGCTTATCCCGTAATTCTACCTCTTTTTGTTATTCTTTACGCCGTCGTGTTCCGCCAGCTCGTCCGCCGCGTATGTTCTTCGGATGGAATTGAGTCGGCTCGAGTCGGCCTCCGAACCAAGTTCCTTCAGACACATCGCAAAGGAGTCGCGATCGTAACCGCTCGGTCGATCTGTGTCGATCCTTCTCTGTCGCGAAATCACAAACGATCCGTGAGCTACGATTGTTCCGCCGCGACTGACAACCTCGAGCGAATCATGTCGAACGCGCACGGCGCCCTCTGACTCGAGGTCACAAACGCGTGGGAGTCTGAATGCCGCAACGCCAATCCAGATCGCGAATGGGACTGTACTCTCTTTTTCTCTTTCTCTCTCTCTTTCACTACAGGGAGATGTAGCCGGCACACCTGCCATCGCATCAGCTACGCTGATCGATGTTCGAGACGCGAGCATGCGTGGGCAGTGACTTCTGGAGCTTTCTTTCCGTTAGCACACTAACGTTTTTGATGTGGAAGAGAAGGCGAAGGAGAAAGAGGACCTTCGAAGTTGCTTTCGTAGGTAGGTCAGAACCTACCGCGCGGGTACAGCGACTAGAAAGTCTCGCGGTTTGTTGGACCGGCGCTACTTGTTGGCACTCTCTTCTCTCAGTATGTTTCGGTCAAGTGTCTCGTACTGCTCTCCGCGAGCGGCGGAGGACAAACTCCCCCTCAGCTGGGCACTCGGCCGTGTTGGCTTTGAGTTCATTCATTCCGTTTTCTTCTCTCGTACTTTTTTCTCGTTTACAAAGTCACGAGTCGCGTCCCCGAGAGGAAGAGCTCAGAAAGTACGGTTCACTTGTCCGTCGTGACTGCTCACATTCGCAAGCTCAAGTTATGTATCTTACATTTGTTCACGTTAAAGTGTCGCTCCTGAGTTCTCTCTGTCTCGGTGTCACACGCCATCGGGAAGGGTGATTGCACGCACAGAGCTTCAGCTCTACGTTCCGTGCTGCCAGATATTCATCTTCGCATAGACGCGCTTTGTACCGCCAGATGGAGACCTCCGCGTCCGATTAACTCGCGCTCGCGCATTACGTAAGCCGAGTCCCGTCACGTGGCGCGGAAGATTGTTTCTAAATCCGTTTCGAGAGAGAGCCGCGGGATAGCCACGCAGAGCGGGGTCGTCCGTTGACATCGGCCCTTGGGAACGATTCGCTTTGAAAACGTATTCAGAGATACTCACGCCCCGAAACCACCTCGGAAACCAGTCGTAATGGGCTATTATCGGTGCGAGAACGCCGAACGGCCGCTCGCGGGCGGCTGGCTCTCCGCGCGGCCTTATGCAACCGATCCTCCGCGTTTTGCTCTTCGTGCGGTCGGTTCTCTCTCTCTCTTTCTTTCTTCCTCTCTCTCTCCTTCTCTCTCTACCCATCTGCGGGCCCGGCAGTTATCGGAAATAACGAGATACGCGTTTCGCGCGTCGGTAAACCGCTTCGAGGAGCGAGGCGTTCGTTCTATCTCGCATCAGCGTTCCCGCTTTCTTTCTCATTCTTTTCTTTCAACCCTGCCTTCTTGTGACTCCATCAAGGTCTCTCTCGCGGCACGGCATGACGCACGAGACGTACGAAGTATTTGTATAAAAGAGCGGGCATTAGGAGAGGAGGGCGCGTTCGCGTCTTCTTGCGCGAGATCGTCGTTGTCGTCGTCGTCGGCGCGAAGTAGGTCGTCAAGCGAAGCTATATAGCTAGAGCGATTAGGGTAGTTAGAGACAGAGGAAAATCGAGGCCAGTTTACCAACTGCTTCGGTGAGCGTTTCCCGGATCGAACGATCGTTTCGGAGCAACAGGAGGATGCGGGGAGGGAGGAACACACATACACAGATACACACACGGGTGTGCGCGACGACGTAACACGCGGAACGAGAACCGTGGCGCGTACACACGCGCACGTACACACCAGGTGTATACATCGACAGGTTGGAGAGACGGGCCGGTTAACTGAATTTTATCATCGCGCGACGTCGCGAGGGCGGACAAGGTAAACCGCGCCGCACGCCCTTGTTCCGTTTTTTTCTTCTCCTCCTCTTAGATTTCTTTTTCGTTCGTTTTATCAATCGCCGCTACTGATCGTGGTTTATACGCTGCTATGTCGCGCTGTACGCAGAAAGGGGGTACGAGAGCACGCGCGCTGAAACGGCCTCGATGCAGCCGCGCGCGTTGGACGATGATCGATACTATCGGCGCGGTAGGCGTGTTTACGACAGGCATTATATCGTCTACGCGGCGTCTACTTTCCAGGTAGCCTCTTTCGTGGGCGTACACGCGCGGGTGACGCGCGCGCGTCTCTCTTTCTCTCTCGATCGAGACACCACACGCGAGTAGTAGTAGTAGTAGTAGCAGCAGCAGCAATAGAGCAGAGCGGTAGCAGCAACAGCAGCAGGAGCAGGAACGGTAACGACAGCAGCGCGAGGGCGAAGTTAATCGAGAACCGTCGCTCGAGGGACTTGCGTTAGATTCCGCGAGCGAACGCGCGCGGGAGATATTAACCGTGATCTGAATATACGTAATAGGATTAAGGCTCATACGCGTGACAGAGCGAAGTTTGTGTCTATTTTTTAGTAGAACCTTCGAAATGTCGAGAAGTAAAGATGAGACATGCGATAGATAGATAGATAGAGATAGGCAGCACGTCGTGCGAGACGTTTCCGCGAGAGCTACGCGAGAATAGCCAGACAGCGAGACAAGGACAAGAAGTGGGTTACGTTTTGAAAAGCCCATAGCGTTAGCGAGGTAAATTATAGCGTTTAACTTATTGTTAGAGCTTAGCGCGGTTACTGGGAGTCGACGACGTAATAGGAGAGGGTAAAGAGACGCGCGAGCACGTAGAGAGGAATTCGCGGTGTGACAGCGACCGATCGTGGACAGGCCGCAGGTGGTACTATTTGACTGAGCGAGTCGCGGGTGTGCGAGATCGGGGTCCAGAGCGGAGCGTAAGTAGCGATAGTGAGCGAACTTCATAAGTCGCGCGATCGGTCCATGAGGGATGCGACGAACCTGAGAGAAAGTGAAAGAGAGCAAAGATACGCGCGAGGAAAATCGTGACGATCGAGTTGATCATTGCCACTAGGTCTCGGTACTCGTAACTAGGGAGTTGTGTGAGGTACAAGTCCTGATCGGCAGGGCGCGCGAGGTCCACCCCCAATCCCCCGTACTTAACAACCCTTGTGATCTTCTTGTGACAAACAAGCAAGATAAAAAATTCGACAACAAATTCGAGATCGACGGGAGATCCTCCGATCCGAGAGGATCGCGAGAGCCAAGTGTCGAGCTCTCCCTGAACTGGTGCCCCGCTGCATTGTATATGTGTGACTCTCTTTTCGGGAAACTTTTCATGCTGATATAAATGAATACGTGGTCTCGCGTATACTCGCGTGTGTGTCTGCGTGTATACGTGCATACATCGTTTGTAACATGTTCCGCTCCAAGAGAAACCAAATGCGACATGTACATGCATATTCAGAGATACAAGTATACACACACACACACACACACACACACACACACACATATATTGTATACATATATATATGTATGTATATATATATATATATATATATATATATATATATATATATATATATATATATATATATATGTGTGTATATATATATATGTGTGTGTGTGTGTATGTATGTGTTTGTGTGTGTGTGTGTGTGTGTGTGTGTGTGTGTGTGTGTGTGTGTATATATATATATATATTTATATAAATATATACATATATACATATACATGTAGACGAGTATGCGCGATGTACTCGTTTCTATCGAATGAAGACATCGCTTGTGCACGTCCACCATTGCAGACGCACACAAGGACACACGTCGCGAGACACACACGTGTGCGCGAGTCTTGGCTCTCGCACGTGTTCCCGCGAAGGAAGCGAACTCGAGCTGCATCCTTGATGCTACACGACAGGTACGTAATACGAAAACACGAATGCAGGGCACCAGAGCGGAAGGGAGAGGCGAACTTTGCTCTCCGTACGCTGGCTTCGCGACGACGACCTTATCGTAGGCTCGTCGTCGCGACATCCGGCGGATACTTTGGCGCGAACGCAAGGGTGTTGTACGGAGATTGGAAGGTGGGCTTCGGCACCGGTCGGTCGGAACCCTAGTTACGAGTGCCGAACCTAGGGCCGAGAGGTTCCACGGAGCCTCTCGGCTTCCGTTGAACGCAAAGAAAGCAGAAAAGAAAGAAACGTGCTCAAGGAGAGGAGGCTGATCGAGGAGACGAAGCGAAATGGAAAGAACGTACGAAGACCATCCGTCGAGAAGCGTTTCGCTCAGTTTGAGACCACCATGATCTCGTGGATGTGGTTTCACGCGCATCGATTACTTTTGCGCGGCCATTCCTCCGCGTCTCACGAGATCACTTGGAATTATCGATACGGTCGAGTATTTTTGGCATCCACGAGACGTGCGTGCTCGTTTTCAAAACTGAACGATCTCAAGTCGGTGAAATATATC